TGAAATGAGATGTAAAGACCGAAGGAAAACTTTAGTCTGTCCTTACTCCGGCTGTCACTCCAGCCTTTGTTACTATTTGGAAATCTCTTCAATTGTATGCTGCTTTTTATATGTTCTTTTCTCACATGCCATGCTTGGTACTAAGTTCACCTTGGTCCCCAGTAAGTGTTGCCAAAGTCATCACAGCACCAAGTAAGCACAGCTGCAAAGCTCTGAGAGGCTTCTGAGCAGAGGAGCAACTTAGACCCTTGGAAGGCATCTTGGTGGGGTGGTTGTCTGGTGTCACTTCCTCCCTCCCAGTGGAGCAAAGCTTTTTCACTCCTCACAGGCCCTGGTGATTCTAGACCATCCTTAGAGAAAAGATCATTTATATCTTCATGTTGCTCCCTTGGGTCTTTTTTCTGGGCCAGCAAAACTGAGGACCAGGAATGTAACAACAGGCGTCCATAGACTTAAGGGCCCACAGAAGTTTCTAGAAGGAAAAACAAAAAAAATAAGTGACCAAGAAAAGTAGATGTAGTGATCTACAGGTTCACTTAAGAGGTAATACTATAACAGTAAAGCAAGTTTCATAATTTCATTTGAAAATCCGTTTATGTCAGTTGTTAAGATATGCTGACATAAAAGGAAAACCACAGCAGAGTTTTATAGGTCGGCACAAGACCAGCCGGTTCGTCCATGTGAACTTCGTTTTGTTGTTGCTCTGCACTGATACTGATTTTAAAGAGAAGACTGAAGGAGAGGGGAAGCAGCACCTAAAACAATAGTGAGGTGCACATAATTTGACAAAATGAATCAACAGCCATAAAAATGTCCACACTCTTAATGTAAACATTCAACCAGGGATTAATTAACCTAAGAAATTAATTTAGAATACGAAAAAAGCCACACACACAATACTCGTTGCTATGTTATTGGTGGGGGTGAAACTTTGGAAGTGCTCTTGATGCCCTGTAATAAGAATAAATCATTAAATTCTCATTCAATAAACTGTTATGTACCTTTTGAATTAATGGTTATGAAGATTATGTGGCAACATAGCAAATACTTAAAATGTCATGCCTGATGAGCTAAAGATTACATCAGCCAAATGAAAAAGATGGAGAGGAAATGTATCAAATGATAACAGCTGTGTTTGGGTAATGCCATGATGGGAGTTTTTTTCTTCTTTTTGCGTATGATTATTTTAATCAGTTTCCAATTTTATAAATTGGAAAACCAATTAAAAGCACTCAAACGAAAAAGCCAATATTTAAAGTTGCAAAGAATAGGACGGGGTTATTTTAAAGTTAGCCATTCTGCTCATAGTTTCATGAGAGATTTCACATGGGACAAAATTGCAAACGTTATTGCGATTTGTGAGGCATATGCGTTTATTCTGAGTTGTTGGGGCGGTTGGAAAGACAGTGGAATAATAGCATGAGAAAGTAGACCCTCCCACCCCCAGCTGCCAGTATTTCCACCTAGAGCTTCAAGAACCGATCTCTGCCCTAAGTGTGGCTTGTCCAGGGTGACTGCCTCCCACAGACTATTGTGATGGTGATAGCTGGGATGTGGCCTGGCCTCCTCAATAGCTCCCAGAGGATCAGGCGTTTAATGGAGGGGCCCAGGCAGCTGTCTCCGCTTGGGCTTGCTGGTCATCAGAGACATGGCAGCCTGTGCAACGCTGACCTGGAGGTGAGCAGTCCGCTTTCTCATACCCACTCCCGCAGGCGACAGCCTCTGATTAAGGTACAGTTTCCAATCCAAACAACCATTAATCTTTCTCAGGGCTAAAGGCCAGAAAAACAATTTTTGCTCTCTCTCTAGTTTGATACTGTACTTGTCTGTATTTTACAAGAGCAGACTGACTTCACTGACCACTGGAAAACACCCCACAGCCGTGTCTACAGCTACACAAACAATGCCAAGCCCAGCACAGCCCTCTGTGTGTATGGAGAAGGGACAGGAGTGTAAAACGAGTCAGCTATTTATTGTAACACTTGACAAAAATTATGGGAACGTGACTTATTTGAAACAAATTAGTATTTTGTATCATGAAATAAATTAGGGATGTGCATGTATTTTAAGTAAAAATGCCACCATCTATGATAGTTTTATGGAAGTGATATTATACGAACTTTTGATTATTTTTCTTTTAATTTCTTTGCCTTAGCAAGTAAATTAGTCTATATAAGTGGAGCTGTGACTCCTAAGAACTTTTTGATCTTTTAAAGGAAATCAAATAGAAAAATAGGATTTCACTTAGAAAAATCCATTCGATTGTCTCAGAAACACAACAGCGGTTTACAGAAATGGGCCTCATCTCCTACCCCACACTCTTTTAATACCCGATAAGTCACCTTTTCCATATTCTCATTCTGTAAGGACCCAAAATAATAAGTATTAAGATTAAAAAAAAAAAAAAATGAAGCCATCTTAAATCCGTTTCTCCATGTTTGCCCTTTAAATCCTTCCTCTAGAGTCATCATCAGTATGAATAGCAAACACTCCCCCTGGTGAGTCACGTTTGGACATCTGGCTCCTGGTAGGAAAAAACACCGAATATTTAAGAGAGATAGAGAATGCATTTTATATCTCAAATTATTTTACATTACATTTCCCAAACTTGAAATCTCACATGAAGGACGAAGTAATACATAAAATCTAGTCATAGCATTTTCAAGCTAGAAGAGGCCTTGGTGGAATAAAGTTAAGACTCAGACAAACCAAAGGACTGGAACCCAGGGCTCTTGACTCCTGGTCTAATGCTGTTCCAATGGTGCCACATCACCTCGAAGAATATGTTATAAGAGTTCTAGGAATTCCCTGGACTTTTCTTGGGGGAGAGGGTGGGACGGGACACATAGATGTTTTAGCTATGCCAAATGCATTTTGAGACATTTGTTAAAAATTTTTACTAAAGTTTTCTGAAGGATCTCAGATTGGCAGGGAGTTTAGCTATTCTCTGCCTCATTCAAACAGCTTCTGCTTGCGAAATCCATGATTCTTTTGAAAAGCTGGAGGGAAATGTAGCTAGATATGGTCTACGCGGTAGAGCTGAAATTCTGTTGGTGCTGGCCTGTGCTTGCCTTTTGGGCACTTAGTATAAAGAATGTGAATGTTCTGTAGGAATTACAACTATATCCAATGATATCATTTTTAAGTAAAAAAAATCTACATATATAGAGTTATCTCTAATGTAATATACATGTATTTACATACAAAATTACTGAAAAGATACATACCAAATTTTTAACAGTGGCTGTCTTCGATGGTGCAACATGAACAAATATTTAAGACTTTTCACAGAGATAAAGTGGGCTTGGACAGGTTGAACGGCACAGCAATGCCCTTCTCATCCATTATTTAAAATCCTGATGTAATTATATACACAGCACCTACTTGATTAAAACTTTAATTCAATTTGAAACATGAATAAATCCACAAGGATGCTGAGATCTAGACTCCGAAGCTTGAGCAGGCAAACCTCAGTGTGGGAACCTTTGGGAAGAAATGAACTGTAGAAGGTAGGGAGGCAGATGGTCATACTCCTTACACTCTACTTGTAAGGCTCAGGTCTATAAATGATGAAACTGCTTGCTTTTGAATTAATTTATTCTGTGCACCCAGAAACATTTTTCTAAAGAGGGAATTACCATGTAAAATGTGAGTGTTTCTAATTTGAAAGGATATATGCATCTGCATGTTCACTGCAGCGTTACTTACAATAGCCAAGATACAGACCTAAGTAGCTAAGAAACAACCTAAGTGCCCATCAATGGATGAGTGGACAAAGATGCCATGTATATATACACAATGGAATACTACTCAGCTATAAAAAAGATGAAATATTGCCATTAGGGACAACATGGGTGGATCTTGAGGGTATTATGCTGAGTGAAAAAAGTCTGATAGAAAAGGACAAAAAAAAACCAACCAAAAAACATGATCTCATACATGTGAAATATAAAATAAAAAAGAAACAAATGAACAAACAAAACAAAACTCATAGATACAGACTACAGATTGATGGTTACCAGAGAGGAAACTGGGTGGGGGGGAGGGTGAAATGCGTAAAGGGGGTCAAAGGTATGCTGATGGATGGAAACTAGACTTCAGGTGGTGAGCATGCTATAGTGATATAGATATCAAATTATAATGCACACCTGAAACTTATATAACATTACTCAACAGTGTTGCATAAAAAAAAGAAATGAGTTTTTCTCAAAAGAACATTTGCCAGAGGATCAATTTCTAATATTGTATCCCTTTGTATTTGTTTTTATCTTTTAAATATTAGTTAGTACTATTTTTATAAAATAAGATTGAATCTGACCTAAAACAGTAAAGTAATATTTTTCTTTCTTTTCTCTCCCTCCTTTAAAATCAAAAGATCTATACTTGTTGTAACAGTAAGATGTCCATAAAATAAAAAGTGAAAGCATAAAATATGAAGTGAACATTTTCTCTTTATTCCTATACCCCAAATTCCATTTCTCCAGTGAACTTTTAAGATTTAGATGTGCATCCTTCTTTTCTTTGTATATATAGAGACAGATATTAATAGATAATTAAAAACAAAAATCAGACCATACTAAAATATAATTGTTCTGCAACTTACTTTTTTCCAACTTAGCAAAATATCACAGACGTATTCCCAAAAGTTTACATTCTTATTAATAGCACTATAGCATTTCATATACTGTGATTTATTTACCAACATACCATTAATGAATCGTTTCTTTCAAATTTTTTATTAGAAAAAGTGCCGCCTGAAATATCTTCGTGATATTTCTTTGGCACATTCATTCCAGTACTTCTCTAGGATCTAGACATGGTTTACTGGGCGTTGGGTATGTGCATTAACAGTTTTGAGTTTCTTACCCATTTGATGCATGAAGCAGGGGCAGTCTGCGGGGTCTGGGACAGGGACATGAATGAGTGTCTGACACTGTGGGCGTCGGCATTAAGGAAGTAGCTTGACTG